AATTTAAAAAAAATCAAATTCAAGTGATCAAAATTTTGTTTGATACTTTCTTTCTTTTTTTTAACAATTTAAAATCTTATATTTCGTATTATAAATTTACAATAATTTAACGATAATTAAGAGGCCTGAATTATCAAACTTATAAACATACAATTTAAACAAAAGACAGTTCAATCAAGAGTCAATCGCGACCTTTGAAACACCGGAACCATTGAACTTGTCGAACAACGAATCCTTTCAATCATCTTACGATCACATTTTTACTCGAACTCCACATCTCCACATTTATAACAATCTCAGGGATTCTTACTTAAAAATTTACTTATTCAAAGTGATTTTCGCAGCCCAAAAAAAAAAAAAAAAAAAAAGAAAAAGAAAAGACTATAGAACAAAAAGACACTTCGATGAGAATCACGATACCTGTATGCGCGTCGAAAAGGACCCAAGCTTCTCACCTGTCGCGTCCTCATCTCGCGGGGCACGGTGCATCTCAGGGAGAGCAGGTTGACAGGCGGAGGAGCTGGCTACACCCCTGTGACCGTTCCCCGACGCTTGCGCGCAGGTTGCATACCCCCCTGTTCCTCCTTCTTTGCACCTCAAACCCCCGCAACCCGTTCTCCTTTCCACTCCTTTCCGCCCGCCCCACACACCCCCTCCCTCCCCCTGTCCCGCTTCTTCTTTCTCTTCCACCGCATTCCTCTTCCTCGCCAGCCTTCTTCTCATATCCTCCTATCCCGGGTGTGTACACCCCCCGCGCGTGCTTCCGCTATCGGCAGTAGTTACGATACCACCACTAGTGTACTATCAGTGGCACCTCCGCTAGCAGCAGCAGCAGCAGCAGCAGCACAGCAGCAGCAGCAGCGGCGGCGGCCGCCGCCTCCAATCTGTCCCACCCTCGGCGGCGCTCTGCCTCCTGCCGAGAACAGTTACGTCGCATCGTTCCCTCGCGTAAGATCGTTATCGCCGATCTGTCAATCGTTCGGTGCAACGTTCGTAAATATAATAATAAGAACGATAATACAATTATAATATTCGAAATCAAATCGAACTCGTTGAATCAATGTTGAATCGGCCGAGATCACCTGACTCGAGTGCCCTCGAAGGGAGGAGGAGGAGGTGGAGGAAGGGGACAAGTTGGAGAGGACGGTTGGACGACGATGCCCGAGGCGCGAACCAGATACGCGTTTAAACGTATCCCGCGTAACATTGCACGTCGTAGCCGCGATACTACGTGTAACCATCGATACTACTATTACGGTGAGGTGGATCCGAGAGGAGTGATCTACGAGATCGAAACGAAGAGGAGGTGGATGTGTGAAGAGTCGGCCACTGCCGCTCGAACCGCTGCCCCCTTGCAACGACGAATGACCGATACGGTACAACAACACCTGTTTCACGGTTCCAACGCGTAGTCGAGGCTCGCTAAGGGAGATGCGTATATTCGTCTGGAGGCATTGCGTGTCGTTGGACGGTAAGGAAGCGACACTCTCTCTTTCTCTCTCTCTCTCTAATTGATCAAATTCGATGCACGAATACACGTTTTCACGTTTTTCAATAATATATCGATCGAACCAATCGGTCAGATCTTATTAGTATTAGATTATTATTAGAGATGTAGTTGAGGTGAAGACGTTTAAGATTGATTGTACACTGTTTTTCTATTTGGGGATGCGAATATGTTTGAGAGCGAAATAATATTGTCTCGATATGTTGAGGATAATTTTAAATTTAGTTCATCAGTGATATGAAAATATTTGAGAGTTTTATTCTTGGGTGTATTCGTAGGTGAATAATTCGAATTTTCATTTCCAATGCGTTAAAATGGAAACAAATTTTAAAAATCGCTTCGACGAGAATTATTTCAAATGTATTCGCATATTCTTAACGCTCTCGAAAGTATTTTTCGGATAATGAAAATTATTCTCGAGAGTCTTATTAGTAATAATTTAACACACGCACAGTTATCATTTTCAATACATGCTTTAAGAAGAAATTTTCGCGGTAATTATTTTACATTTCATTTAGTTAGTGGAAATCAGTTTCGATCGACGCGTGATCGAAAAAGAAGAAGAAGAAAAAAAAATGCTAATAAAAACTAGTCCGCCGCTCATTAAAAGCGTTAACAGAGGAATTCAATTTCGAAGAGTTCGATGGAGCCATTATTGCGCAAAACTGCCTCTTCCTCCTCCCATCTTCACCTGCGCCCTCCGGTTTACCAATCTCCGAGGCGTTTCCCGCTCCAGTTTCCCCTGTTTTCGTTCATTTTCCATGTTCTGTCGCCGCGAAATCGGTGAGAACGATTCGATATTGGCTCGATGAGGATTTGTAAAAGCCGATTTGCAAATACGATCCGCGTTTTCATCCGCAAAAAAAAAAAAAAAAAAAAAAGAAAGTTCAAAGTCAGTGGTCGAGGAATGCTTTAATCGTTTCTAATAAAATGAAAAATTGAAACTATAAATGAAGTAGACAATATATTTTAATCATTGCATATTATTGCGTAATCAAATTTTTAAAGCTATCCTTGACAATCTTAAGTTTTCTTAAGGTTTCCCTTGGGAGATAATACATAGGTGAAAAGATTATTTCTTTTGAGGTGGATTTCTTTTAATAAAATGAAAAAGTTTAATAAATTAATTATAGACATCGAGGTGATACATTGATTCTTGGTGTAATGTGATTCTAATCTTACGATAAATCTCATTGTAAATAAAAAAAACATGATAGGAATCTTTTAAAGGTTATCTTGGATATTATTCTATTAATCTCGAAGCAAAAATCACAATACGCTCTCACGTTTCTTTTATAGTTTCTTCAATTGTCCTCTGTTCGTCTTCCCGTCATTTTACCTTCGAATTTCACATTATTCGTTCAACTTTTCGATTAATATTTCATTCGACTCGCTAATTAGGTCAAAACCGAACCTCATAATAGACCCAAACTCGTCTAATTCCTGTTACTTAATTAGCGTTATCATTACCAGAAGAAAAGAAATTGAAAGTGACGCGTAGCTATCAAATCGCTATTATTATTATTCCCAGTTGATTGGACGAAAACAGGATTGAAATACATTTCGAAAAAAATCAATAAATCCGTTTTTCAAAACGGACGATCTTCTCGTTCGTTTCAGTTGACCCGGTTATATCGGTTCCTTTAATCTCCATCATCGACACGAGCGACATCGAGAATAAAGGGAAAAAAAATTTCGTTTTCTGCCCATCCACCGTTTCCTTTTTCGCCGTTACTTTATTTTTACTTTATTGTCGGGTGTACGTGTACGTGCACGTGACCCACGAGGGCCGATTCCCTCGTCGAAGGCACACGCGAGTGGCGGTTACTTTACGACAACGAGCGGGACGGAGGGATGCACTTTGCGTTTACTAGGTAAACGGCCATTTGTAGTATAGGTTGCGCCTGTATCCTGCTGACCCACTTATCGCGCGCGAACTTGGACGCGGCAGGAGGCGAGGATCGAAACGCGGCTCCCCTCGTCGAACGACCTAACCTGTTCTTCTTCCACCTAACTCCACCATCCTTCACTCGATGGCCCGTCCAGTGAAATAATTCAAAAGTTGGAAAATTTCGATAAAAATACTCGGTGTCGATTCCAATCGCTGGATTTTTTATTCAAAATGCGCGAATTAAATTTTAATTGTTGCCCGATTAATTGAATTCCGAACCCCGTATTCTGAATAGTATTCAAATATTCATCGAAGGAAGAGATACCGAAGTATAATTATAAAATATTCCGTTTCATCTTGTGATGCAAAATCTTAATCTTTCTCAATCTAGCAATTAAACTTTCGTAAAGTTCTAATCGAGTATAATTTCTTTCTTTGCGTATCTCTTTACGTATCAACGATCAAGGTACTATTTCATTTCGTCTTATTACGCAAAATGATGTATGATGTAAAAATTCAAATCGATTATAATTTCTTCCTTCGGATATCTCTTTACGCTTCAACGACCAAGGTGCTATTCCGTTTCGTCTTATGACGCAAAATGATCCATGATGTAAAAATTCTAATCGAATTATTTAATTTCATCGAAATATATATATATATATATATATTCTTCTCTTTCTTTGGGTGTCTCTTTACGCGTAACGATCAAGATAACACAGGTACGCCGTGACCCAGTTTCCCCGGATGCATTTCGATCTCAATCTTGCAAGGATCGTTGTCGCGACAGGGTAACATTTTACGATCCACGTTTCGTCGTCGAATACTCCTGGTTTACGCTGTGACCTAATTACCACGAACGACGACGAAGTCCTTTGTCGTTTTCGAAGAATGAACCGCGCGTTCGAGGTTTCTCTCGAAGAGTCTCGTTATCGATCAGTCGTTTCGACGACAACCACAGTGGGAACGCGTTAAAGCGAAAAAATTGCACGGACAATTTTTCTTTTTAATTCTATTTTATCATTTCCCCCTCTTTTCTTTTTTTTTCTTTCTCTCTTTCTCTTTTTCTCTCTCTCGTCATTCAGTTTCAGAGGTTTGCGCTTCGTTAAAACGAATATACAAAGCTTTCGACGTTATCCTCCAAGCGGAATAACGAGAGAGATATCTTAAAATTAACCCGACCTGTCGGTGTATCGCGGTGACCCAATTGCGGCGAACCGAACGAATTTCGATCTTGCCGTATAAATTGCGTTTGCTCCGGACCTACGCATATGGACCTGCACAAACTATATACCTCGAAGCCCTTTTGCTGCGTGGAACCGGATTCGATTAGTCGATCGATTACGACGATCGTGTTGCTTTGGTTACCCTCGAGTTTGCCATAATAGAACAAGAAATAAGAAAATCATTTGAGAATAGAAATGGATTTATGGGAAAGAGATGTGAAATGGAATATATCGTCGATTATACAAATGATTTTCAAAGAGGATAGCTTTAGAAAAAGTTGATTGAGCTCTTTGATTTTTTTTTTTTTTTTT